TCGTTGGATGCTGGAAAATTCACACCATCCCATTGAATTAGACTTTCAGTAGTTATTAATTTCTTGTAGTGTCTCATATGTTGTGGATGGTCTTTCTTGAAGACTTCATAAAATTTACATAAAACACAATATTTAAAACATAATTCATCATCATTTTGAATGTTGATACATGCTTTTTTCTTTGAAATCCATTCTGGTAGTTCCATATATTTACCTGCTCTGTTTGGATTGTATTTATCGTAGTGGATGGTGATTTTGTTAATCTTATTAATCTTCAATCCTGAATGTTTCAAAGGTGAGTTTTCAATTTGTAGTTCAATATCTTTAGGTATATTTTCCAATGCTTTTTTCAAGTCTCCTACATTTAGAATGTTATATCTCCTGCTTCTCATATTGTGTTTTATTTGTATATTTTCCTCAATTGGTTCATCTTCTCCATCATCCTCTTCTTGCTGTCTAAGTTTATCAAACAGAACCTCAACATCAATCAGTAGTTTCATTGATTTTGCTTGTTGTAAAAACTCTGTTAGTTTCTTTTCTTGCCATAAAAGATATGGTAATCCTTTGTATCCCTTGAATGGTATGTTGGATATTGCATATGTGTTGGCATATCCTTTCAATGCCGAAAATGTCTCTGATGTTTTTGCTCCTATTTTTAATCTGTATTTCTGGATTGTTTTAATGCCTCTCATTGTGTTTGATGCTTTTTTTAGAAGATGAAATCGTTTGAAACCTTGTGTGTTGCTGACTTGATTGAGTTTGTTTTGAAGTGATGAGGATAATGGTTTGTCTTTGTTGTAATAGTATTCTTTGTTGTTGATGATTAGTTTTTTCAATGGTTTGTTATTCTTCCCTGTTTTTATGGTTGCTTCATTATTGGATAACAAATAGTCAATTACTGAACCCGAACTGAAATCCCTTGCCATATATCTATACTATATAAGGTATTTTCTCTTTAAGTAGTTTTGTTTATGTTTGGTGGTTGTGGGATTGGGGTTGGCTTCAACATTGAAAAACAAATGGGTTTGGGGATGAGTTTGAAACTGTCGTTGAATATGTATCTCACCAAAGTTCCAGTTTCAATACAACATCTGAAACTGGAACTTTGATGTATATATATTATATATACCCCTAAAATATTTAGGTGGTCAGTCCTCAAAAATTAATATTTAGGTGGGCATCCCCAAACAAATATTTAGGTGGGCATCCTGAAAAGTTTAGGTGGGAAAACCCAAAATATTTAGGTGGGAAAACCCAAAATATTTAGGTGGGAAAACCCAAAACATTTAGGTGGTTCGCCCGAAAAAAAAGCAGTCAGGGGGAAGCCGCCGACACCTTGAAAAGGACAGTCTTGTAGATGGTGAAGTGGATGTCTTCTCGGCCTCAGAGTGGGGGAGCAAAGAAACTGAACAAACTAAAAAGAACAGATGTAGGGGCAGGATTTGAACCCTTGCAGTGGCTCATTTGACCCTATTTTGACCCTTAATATGCTCTAAAACTATGCTCTTGGGACCATGCTATTAGGAGCATCATATTTTTTGAGCATAGGGGGATGCTCCGAGAGCATACAAAAACACCCTGATTTATGAGGGGGTTTGCTTTTGGGATGCTCCGAGAGCATCAGGGTATGCTCAAACAGCATAGTGTTTTGGGATGCTGTAGGGAGCATATGGGATTTCTGAGCATGCCTAAGCCCAGCAAGCGAGCCACGTGAGACAGCCTTTTTTTTCTGACCCCGATAGGTATGTGATTGACACATCAAATGTTGATGAATGTATTCCCCGTTGCCCTCAGATTTCAGAGGGTCTTTTCATTGACATTAAACAACTTGTGATTAAACAACTGTGATTTAAATCTAATTAGGCCGCTGGTTTCATCGCAACATCTGTTCGCTGCGATTGACTTTGTCTAGCACCAACGGTCTTGTCAATTATGGATTTCACCTGTTCCCAGTCAAAGGTGTCATCATCTCTGCAGCACTGCTCCACTATGACATCGGACAAAGCGTCCTCTGCATATTTGATTTGCTCCTCCAAAAACTCCTTCACCTTAACCATATTGTTGATGGTCTTTGTGAAGTGAGCAAATCGTGGGAGTTTTTTCAGGCTGTTAGTCTTGTCTTTGTGGGCGTAGTCGCTCAACTCGTCAAGCTTCTCGTTGGAGATGTCGGCAAGGATTTGGTCAAAGGTCTGGACAAACTGCTCACCCTTTGCCATCTTTGAAGATGAAGATTGTGCAAGGTCAAAATCCTGTTTTGATGGCATCGGCTGCTTCTTCTTAATCTTTAGCAAGTCCTTCTTCACCTTTCCACCCATTGCTACAAGAGATGATGCACACAGATGGAAACCAAAAATGCTCAGCACAAACGCCTGCGGAAACGGTTTCTCTTGGCTCACTCTGTCAAAGGGGCATCACTCTTCAATGAATGTGCAGATGTTATTTTCGCGTGTCTTGAAATGTCTAAGCGTAGTCTGATGAAAATCTCATCACGACGGTGTTTCCCTCAAACTTCTCACACTGAGCTGTGATTAGATTAGAGCAACATATGATGGGAAGTGTTTTGTTTTTACAGAGGCATCACCGTCTTTGAACCTAAACCTGTCTAGTCCTGTGGCTTGTCGTTGCTCTCAGAACTGCCGGTCTCGTCAGAGGTCTCACTGCTGTCGCTGTTCTCGGTCTCCTGCTCAATGGCGTTGGTGTTGCCGATATTCACAGTCTCCTGCTCAATGGCGTTGTTGTTGCCGATGAAGGTCAGGTCAATGGTGCTGTCCTCTCCGATGTTCAACTTGTGAAGACGCTTCAAACCCTTACCCTGTTGGTTGATGCCCTCTGTGAAGTAAATCTCCCTGCCATTGCAAGTCATGTTCCGGACAAACGCCTTCTTCACATTCAATCCCATCTTCTCAGCAATGATTTCCCTGATGCGCCCCGTAGTGGTGTTGTTTGCTACTTGAAGATTGAAAGTGCGACCGTCCACCACAACCTGAATGTTGATGAGCTTTTCGCGCTCTGCTTTCTGGAGTGCCTTACGCGCCTTCTGAGTTGCTTTGACCTTCTCCGCCTTCTCCTTCTCCTTCTCGGGCTTGAGCAACTCTTCGAGTTTTGACTTTGCCTCTTTGATCTCCTTTTTCACCTCGTCCATTTGTTTCTCCAATGATGCCTTCTCCTCCTCACTCTTGCGTAGGTTCTTCTTCATTTGCTTCAAGGACAACCCGCCCATATTCTGAGTAATCTGGCTGACCAATGGGTCTTCGGATGAGCCGCAGGGATGGTCAGGGTTTGCCACTGTCTGCTCTTCCATAATGATGTCCTTTGGCTGCTCTGCCTGTTCTGGTTCTTCTGGTTGTTCTGGTTCTTCTGGTTGCTCTGGTTCTTCTGGTTGCTCCGCCTTCTCAACCGTGTAGCCTTTGTTCTGCTTGGGAGTCATTGATGGCGGGAGCAGGAAATCACAGAAATGGGGCTTGGCACTATGACCAAACGGCTGCGATGTTTGTTTCAATCACTGCTCAACTCAAATGGTTTCAGTCAAAGCATCACTCTCTGACTGCTGGGCATCCCGACCAATGACTGCTGTTGAAGAAGACCACGAAGCCGGGTGTGCGACGGTCTCCCAAAATGCTTCAACTCTTCTATCCCCAGAAAGCCGTAAAATTGTCTGAAACCCGAACCTTGAAAATGATGAAATCTTAGACTGTTTCATAATGAAAAAATTGTAAAAACATGTTGAGAAAATTTAGGAAAATTCCCCAAAACCCCTATTTGTGTTTTGGACAAAATGGTTTGCTTGTTTAATTTCTTCCCTGAACCCTGAAGCCCCAGCTTGTAAATACCCTACCCCAGACCCCCTATTATAATAATTTTTTGGGGGCCCCTCCAAAAGCGGTCTGGTTCCCCAGTAAATCCAGGGACACCCCCTATTAATAAACTGGAGTTGATTAATATGGGGTCAGCATTAATTGGTCAACCACTCGCCCTTTGGTTTCCCCGATGTTGTGCCCTGAAACCTGAGCCGTCTGGAAGGACTTTGTGGGGTCTCAAGTCGCACTCTAACCCTCCCAATATGGATGGTGAAGCACCCGGTCTAGTAGAAACCACTGCCTTGAAGCTTTCGCCCGAAGCCATATGGGTGTGTTTGTTTTTGAGGGTACCATGGTGGTTGTTCCAAAGGGAAGCCAAAAGGAACCCACTCGTTTTTTTTTTGGTTCCCTATTTTGAGAGACACCCATATGTTCTTCAGGTTTTTTTTTGTTCTTTTCGGAGACCGTGATTCTCATCAATTGTTTCCGACTTGAAGGCTCCTTCCTTGTCTTGTGAGATCGGTGAGTCCTTAGGGTCCATGCTCGTGAGCTACGGGAATTCAAGCAAATGATTCAAGCATGCATGCACTCAGAGTATGAAGTATTCCTTGGCAAAAGGCATAGGGAGTAAAACATAGGTTTGTGCATAGACCTCCCAATTGTGGAACTTCCACCCATTTCCTGGTTGAACTCTTCAGTTGTATGTGCTGCTCATGCTGAGTGATTCTGTTCCAACGAGCGAGCTAGTCATTGTTTACCCGCGGAGCCTTTGGTTCCGCAGACGTTCCTCGGATGGTCAGCAGGGCCGGGGGCCCGAAGGTTTCCAACCGATTCTTGGCAGTCTACGGTTGGGGCAACTCACTTGCTCTCAGACTCTTACGCGCACTTGTTAGTGGGTTCGTTATTCCGAAGCTATCAATCAGGCGGCTGCCGCCTGATGGGTGTTGCGGCTTGTGCGAAATCGTTGGGCATCCATTCCTTCGCGGATTTTGTTTGATAGAGATGTGTGCGCGTGTGTGGAGGGGGGGTCCTATAACGGTAGAACCTTCTTTCGTGATTTGAAAGGGATGCCAAAATGAGCCAAACTATTTTACTGTACAGGTCCGCCTGCCTCGAGAAACACCCAGGCGATTTTCCGTTAAGCTAACTTGCGAACAAGAGCCAAGTGGCCCCTTTGGCGAGAGAACTGACCTCATGGCCCAG